TATATATATATATATATATATATATATATACATATATATATAGCTATAAATGAAAATTTTGTCTGAAATTTAAAGAGGACACATTAACAAATCAGAGCTACTTTTATATATATATATACAAAAATTATGATTGCTAGGTGAACGGCTGTAGGGTGTTTCTGGTCTATAGCTGAGTATGAATCTAAGGTGGCACAACGAAGGAACTTCCACTTGGCAGGGAATGCAACAGGGTAATGGCCAATGCAGATTGGTGCATTTGGAATGAAAAAGCTGACCGGTTAAGTCTGATTAAACAAACAAGCTGTTTTAGCTCATTTTTGTAAAGGAATCAATTTTAGTTCTATGAGAAAGGTGTCAAGCTGGTGGAGTTTGTTTGGTGAATGGAGGAAGGTTATGCTGGAAAAGACATACCTGGATTTGACTTTAATATGTACCTTTAGTGTAGATCAATAAGCTCCCTTTAAATACCTGCTCAATCCATGAAGGCTATACCTCAAACTTTTGAGAACTCAACGCTTCTGCTGCTTCTCTTGCTGCTTTTTACCTCATCATCATTGCCTCATGTAGCTAGTAATGTCATTCCTTATTGAAGAGGATCAGCACATTATTAAATCTGTGTTATATTGTTATGCCTGATCAATGTACTTTTTAATTACATTCTCACAAATATTAATATTATATATTACATAAATTCATGGTCCTTCTTTTTTGTTATTTAGAGTTCTTCTCCCCCCTCCGGTGGTGAAACCAGGCAAGCTGTCAGGATGCTACGATCAGAACCAGCCTCTTTACCGATCATTGTCCATGGCTCCGCTGAAACCCAAACAGCGTTACTGTTTACTTACTGACCTTCCACGAAGAATCAGCCTTCATTCGGCACATCTTTCCTCCTCTCCAACCTCATATTCTGTCCCTGCGATGCCACGAAGCTGTTTGCGCAGAGGCGGCTCCAGGATGTACAAGAAACAAGTGGTTTTTGCAGATGAAAAAGGAAAGCCGCTAACTGTTGAGCATCTGTTTACCCCTGAGCCCTCCTCTCCAACACCTATTTCAACAACGAGACCCTCTACACGGAATTTAGAAGTCCAACAAAATCACTCAAACAAATTTCACCTCCCCAAGTTTTACCTGGGTTTCCCTCCACCCACAGAGAACTCTGATGCATTTGTTGCACGTCTGCAAGAGAAGTGTGTGCAAATGGAGAGCTGCAGAATTTCAGAGAGAATATTGAGTGGCCTAGTGTACGTTTATCATAGCAGCCTAAAGAAGACTGTAAATATTAGAGTGACTTTTGATTCATGGAAGAGCCACAAAGACATAACATGTAAATTCTCGGAACACAGGCTATGCCATGGCCTTGATGTAGATGTGTTTACCTTTGATGTAAGCTTACCCCAGAATATCAACCAAAATGAACGAATTGAGTTTCTCTTCACATTCAGCCCTGGACATGGCTCTACACTTCACTGTGATGACAACTTTGGGCTACAATACAACGTGCTTCAGGAAAATGCTGGATCATGGGCTGGCAATGACTACACAAGGAACTTTTACCCATTCCTTTCAAAGTACAAGCCAGCTGTTTCCCTACAGTTGGCTTCTTATCTCCAAAACTGTGATGATTTGAAGTATCTTCGAAGTCATCTGCTAAGTAGCAGATCATTCAGCGGGCAACTATGTTGAATGGCATAAAACCTCCAACATACTCTGGATAGATATGAAAGCCTAAATATCCTGCGATAATGTAAATACTGTATTATTAAATTATTGAACCACTTTTTTTTTACTTCTACTGAAGTAAAATATTTTTAATGTTAATGCAACTTTTAAAAAAAACGTATCTGTAAAAAGTAAATAATCGAAGGAATGTTTGTTATTTTACTATTTATGTTGTCTCAAAACCATGTTGTGTTCTATTCTCATCACCTGCCAAACCACATGGAAACAAAACAAAACGATCTTGTGGGAAAACAGTTTGGATTGAAGAAAATGTTCTAGACACTCCTCTGGCTTTGAACATTCTTTGAATTGTTACATCTTGTACTATAGATAACTGGTTTGACAAACCCCGAGCCAGCACGTACCGTAGTGTATGTATGGGCTAGTGTTTACAGGAAAGGGTGGAGTCCTTATTTTACACCCTAGCAACCACAGAGAGAGCATACCTGCTCTTATTGCAACATTTTCTCCACTTACTTTAGCTTCAGGCTACTGTGTCCCATTTTAACCTTTGCAAATCTTTACAGGTTTGTGTAATCAGTTGAAATGTTGTACATGGTTTGTTTACATCAGCTTGAACCCTTGTCATTTCTTTGAAGATAAAAGAAACATATTTTTCACAATATTTTGCAAATAAAATCTGAAAAGTATTGCATCCCTTTTTGTTCAGCATCTTTGTACTGTACCACCACCTTTATCTGTAATCACAACTCTAATGCTTTTGGGATGTCTTTATTGGGCTTTCCACATGAAAACACTGAAATATTTTCCATTTCTTTAAAAAATATTTTAAGCTCACATTTACTTTGTTAGAGAGTGCACTAACTTGTTTTAGAAAATGTATTCAAAATAGGCCTCAATGTGTTAAAATACACTCAACATTACATCAGAACTGTGATGCATGCTGCAACACAAAGGCCTAAATTCTTACAAGTTTAGTTTTTTTGCAATCTGAAGCTAATTTTTGTTGCTACTAAAATTGTATGTTCTAATGTAGTTGTTGCAATATATTCCATATATTTATATGTCTTAATCGAGAAGGTTTACTCCAGGACAGGGGTTGCAGATTGGCTATAGAAACAGAACAGACTGCATTAGCTTAACTTCAGGAGGCAATACTAAATGTACGTATGGAGTCAGAAGAGTCTCAATATTAACAACCTCATTTACTTAATCCCAATATTAGCAGGACAATCCATACATGCACAGCATAATCCTCACATGCACGGGACAAGATCCGCAAATGCATATTATAATTAAAACACATAAAATCTACAGTCAGAAGACAAAGTTCACAGAAGTGGTTGTGATGACTACACAATTATATCCTGATTCATGAAAAATCAGTGGTCTTTGAACTTCACTGTGTTTTTCAATAGATTTTTGAAACTCACCTGAAGTTGTTTGATGCACGAAGGCCTCTATTTTAACAAGCTATGATTTGGGTAACTTCATTGTTGCATTTATGTACAGTAGCTATTTGAATGCAATTGTTGTTTAATCCAGTAGTCTTAACCTTTTCAAAAAGCTTTTTCCATAACAGATCCAAATATAGAGCATGTGTGACTTAAGCTACTGGGTGCTATAAAAGGGAATACTGTTAGTTATGAGAATTTCACAAATTTATTCAGGAAATAAGTTATAACTAGGTATATAGATCTTTAAACACTACAAGAACTGGCCATCACACTCCTACACACAAATTAAAAACAATGTCACAGGGGCATACCTCGGGCACTAGTGCAAGTCAAGAATATAATCCCTCTGTAAACACAAGTACTGTGGGGTTGTTACGCTGTTGCTATCAAATTCATTTACTGAAGATTAATTACCACAGTCCTTGTAGCCAGCCACCATTTACTGTAGATTTTTTATGCCTACTAAATTTCTTTTACTGAATATATTTTACAATAAATTATTCTTATTTATTCTTCATGCAACTATATATCCAAAAATGTGTATATAGTAATGAGTTCACAGTTCGCCTTACCTCCTTGCAAGATGTGTTGTATCTATGTCGCTATTTTTTTTGCTGAGATTTTTTGCATTCTCAGACTGCATCCTGCTGAGGATGAAGTGTGAAATCGGATATTTTTGTACTCCTCTTTCCCATTGTGATCCCTTTGTCTTCCTTTATCTTAACTGTATGGGCAGTGCCTTTGACGCCAGCAAGGCCTCGGACACTGCGTTCCCCCATTTAAAATGTCTGTGTTTTGTCTTCTCTATCTTTTTGTTTTCTTTCTGTACCGAAACTGGATTTCCCTCTTGGGGATCAATAAATAATTTTCTTAACTGAATTGAATTTACCTGACAGAAAGAAAGAAGATAGGAGGTGGCATAAAGATTAGGTCCATGGATCCATCAAGTCATAAATTACTATGAGCTTTGATTTAGGTTAAAAAGCTGGGTGCAAATACTTCATTTCATTTAATGTGAGCCAAATGAACACTTTTTATAGCCATGTGGATTCGCTGACTTGAAATATGTGTGTATTTCCCAACTCAAAGGTCATAAAAAATAGTGAGGCACAAACTACTGTATGTTTAAAAATTTTAAAGGTTTACATTCATTAATTTGAATTGAGGTGAAATTAAAATTTTATTATAAAAAAATAAAAGTCACGGGTATGTTGTACATGAGGGAAAATAGATATGAAGAATCTTTACTCTGAAAGCAAAAAGACCTACAAAAATGGTGATAGCATGCTCTGTGAGGACAATAGGCTGGGCAATTAATTTGTATAGTGCATTTCAGTGACAAGACAATTAGAGTTTTGTAGAACAACAAAATCGGAGACAATAAAACAGAAAAAATACACATTACATATTGTGACACAATAGATGAAGGAGAAGAAAATGAAATGTAAAATGTAGATAAATATAATTAATATATACTGTGTTGTCTGATGTCAAGCTTAAAGTAAATGAAGAATTGACAAAATCTGCATATTTCCCATAAAACAGTAATCAATGTTGCAGAAAAAAGTTCAACTGCAACTTTACCACAAAGAGATCTGCAGGAGTCAGAAAACATGACTAAATAAATCTTTAGTGTCTCACAGAAGAATTTTTCCCTGTCTTGTTGTGACAGGAAAACCACTGTCTGATGAAACCATTTCCTTCAAACATGGAATGTGGATCAGTATGTCCTTTTATACCAACGGAAAACATGTACACATCTTGTGTACTGTGGAAACTTTTAAGCTAGAGTAAAGACTTACACCTTGAAGCTTTTTTATGTATTCCCTGTGCATGTGTTGGTTCTCTCCAATAAATATAGCTTCCATCCACAGTCTAAAAACATGATTATAGGGTAAACTGGTGTCTCTAATCTGTGCTTAGGTGTGTGCAGTGTTGGGGAGTAACGGATTACATGTAACGACGTTACGTAATTTAATTACAAAAAAA